TTAGATGTCTATACGCCACAGCAACCACTTACCAGCAGTGAGCTATGTGCACGTTTGTCAGCCTTATCCTATAAATATATATATATATATATATATATATATATATATATATATATATATATATATATAATATATATATATATATATATATATATATATATATATATATATATATATAATATATATATATATATATATATATATATATATATATTATTATAAAATAATGGTTCACTTGGTCACATGGTTTGTTAATGAAATTAAATGTTTTTTAAATTTTATATTTCAGTTGATTGAAGGAAAGGTAAATTGCGGTTTACGATTTATGAGCATTAACGCGAATATTGCGGTTTAGATGAACTAATATCCTATAACGAAGGACGGTCAAATTTTCTCCAACGGGCATCCAGATGCTTAGGTTTATTTTGCAGACCTCTACGCTGGTATTCTGTGAGAGCGTGGTCTTTCCCCATTCGAGCCGACCCATTCGTACTACAACCATAATATAGCTGCAGCGTGACTCTAACATGTGTATTTATAATTGAACCTCAATTAAGTACGGCGTGGCTTCGCTTGCTCCAACTTTTAATTAGGTCATCGTCGTATATTAATTTTCCTAAATTAAAAAAAAATCATACTTAGAAACTTTATAATACAAGATTATTTTTCATACTTTGATACACATTCAATTAGAAAACTTGACGGCAGGCGTAAAGTTCAAAAGTAAATTATTTATAACTGATACCGTGTTGGTATGAAACAATATATTTATGAGCTTTGTGCTCGCCGTAAAATTCAAAGTACGTTAACAAGCTGAGTTTGCTCGCCGCTGGCGTTACTGGAACGTTAACCACGATTTTATGTACCGATTGTCCACGTACTCAACGTGCTACTGCTATAACAACTGCAGCGTATCTCTGCCACGTATGAAATCTCTTAAATGTCTGAGAAATCAAAAATATTTCAAGCATATGTTGGATATGAGAACGCACTGACTTTCTGAAAAATGATGGAGGTCTGCAAAATAAACCTAAGCACCTGGATGCCCGTTGGAGAAAATTTGACCGTCCTTCGTTATAGGATATTAGTTCATCTAAACCGCAATATTCGCGTTAATGCTTGTTTTAATCGCCGCAACGCTTGCTGATCAAATGGCATGTCACGAATTTTTCTTAGTGATGTGTCACTTTTTTATAGAATAAGGGTGACAAACGTGCACACAGTCCACCTGATGGTAAGTGGATGCTGTGGCCCATAGACGTTTATCTATCTATCCTCGATTAAGAATCGAAATGCAGATGCGTTGTCACACCTGAGGACTAAAGTACAACTCCTCGTTTTCAGTAAAAAGGGTCTCTGGTTCTCTATACTCACCATACAAAACACAGCTGCTGTTTTACGCTGGTATTCTGTGAGAGCGTGGTCTCTCCCCGGTCGAGCCTACCTATTCGTGCTACAAAAATAATATAGCTGCAGGATGCAAGTGATGACTTGTTATACGTGTTTTCACAATATGTATTTTATTATATTTAGCTATATTGATATGTAGTTTGAATATGCTAGAATTTAAACAAGATACTTGATACATTTTTTTAATTTTCACGGCTTTTTATTGTGATTTATAAATTCCATCATAATAAAGAAATGCCATTTTGCCCTCTCGCGCTAATGGCCAGTAATAACCTGTAACTAGATATCGGCTACGGGTTATTGCATTTCTGGTACTCAGTAAAGCAATTATGTTGAAATTCTATTAACTCTTGATAGCGATGACATCCTAGTACAGAGATAACGAAAGCCTTATCACGGTAAGGTTAAATGGAACGTAAAACTTTATGTTCCTATTGAAAATAATTAAATTGTCTTGTTCGTCATTTTCTTATAAGATATTTTAAAGTTTAACAGATATTGTTTCATTAATCGTAATATAATCACTAATTGAAAATAACTTTCCATATAATATTAAGCGTTCACACCACAAAACAATATTACTGTCTAGCACTCCACTAGTTCACACTCTTCACAGTGCTCGCTGACGATGTCACTGAAATAAGTAGTTAGGTGTAGAAGCATTGCGTAAACAAAAGTGAAAAAGTGTTTTCTAGTTGTAGTAAATGTAAAGAAGCTTGTTGGTGGATATCACATGTCGAAAAATTTATAATTTTCAGACGTGCGGGTTTCCTCACGATGTTTTCCTTCAGCTCTAAACACGTGGTAAATAACCACAAAAAATTGTAACACACTTTACGATTATGTACTCATTAAGAAATCACGTTGCGTGTTGTGAATTTTGTAAATGTTAGATTAAAACAACATTCTCATTCATCTTCGGATAATTATAGTTTACTTCTGGAGACCATCCCGAGAATTTGCCAGCAGGAATGTGTTTCTAGAAAGCGTTACCCTTACGCAAGAAGGAGCGAGATTTTTAAGGGTTTTCCGCCGTTCTGTCTGAAAAAAGTTCCTGTGAAAGTTTCTAGAAAGGCAGCCTGCAGCCGCGTATTGGTTAGTTAAAGTCAAGGACGGATTCCCACTAGATGGAGTCACGACTTGGTAACACATGGAAGAAATCAATGGATTGTTGAAAACCATCCGTTATGGTATTACTTGGGGGAGACAAATGTTCAACAGTAGACATGTGGCGGGTGGGTGGCTACGCATACAGCATGCATTCCCCACCGGCATTAAGGACGCACCGGCAATCGGACTGCACTATCGACCTCTGGTCTGAGCAGGGGGGTGATGTGGCGGCGCTGTCGTCGCGCCACAAGCGAAACACATCGAAGCCTAAATCGCGCTAACAAAGTTCCGAAATTAAAGAAGTATATATAGAATAGCTCCGAACTACCACTCGGAGCGCTGGCCGCTCCCCGGGCAGAACACCTTGCCCGGCGGGAGATCTCCCCTTTTCCTTCCACTCGTCACAGACTTGTAATGTTGTAATGATGATATAACTAAAATATATGTAATTTTACAACGTAATTTAAAACAAGTTCCAACAACAGAAACTTTATATTACCATTCTGTTTTATTACCATACGGTAAAAGTTTTCCAGCGCTGACCGCAAAACTTTTCCAATAAAAGTTCAGACAGCAACATACGATTACATACATTATTCTTACTACACAGTCATGTATACATTTTCTTTACTACTATGATTTTTCAAAGTGTTTTCGATTAATGCACAATTTGCCACTTATTATCGAAATAAAGGTAAATTTTCAAAGATGAGTATGTGAAAATAAAGTCGTGGTAGTCTAAAGGATAAGCGCTCGCAGTCAATTTTACAGTACGCAATCAACCCGATTTCGACCCCACCGGCACTAATGACATTGTTTTCAAGTACATGTGGTATCCTCTAACAAACAGAAATAAGAGAAGAAGTTTGTTCAGCAGTGGGTCGTACATATATAAGTTATATCTGTAAATTCTTATTTTTACTTTTCTAATTTGCTGTCTTGTACTGTGAGGATGCAGTACTATGTTGTGAAATAAATAAAAACATTTTACAAAACCAGAACGTCTCTTTTTTTTATAAAACTTAAGTGACAAACGAACCACCCGATGCCAAGTGGCTAATATTGCAGTAGTCCATGGACACCTGGAAGAACCTCTAAAGAAAGAAGGCTACAGGTTTTTAGACGAGGCATTTCATCTTAGTCTTTAGGGGTGAAGTTATCTGCACTTTGATTTGTAATTGACTAAGTAGTACTTAGTAACTAAGTGTCTTACGGTTACTGCATCAATTTACCATTAGGACCGAGTGATCGGTAGTCAATGTTATTTAAAATCTGAAAAACGGTTGACTCTGTCGGCCATCCCTGGAACTTCCCGCTTATCGCTCTCTATTTGCTTTTTGTTTTTTTTTTTGGTTTTATTATTTGAAAATCTTTAAAACGGCTCCTTCGATTGACTTGAAAATCTAATAATAAAGCCTCAATGGACACTTTCAAACGCCGTGTCGCCCATTTCGTTCGGTTGAATCGTTCTAAAGATATCGTACGACAAATTTACAAACACACACATACACACAGGTGCACGCGCACGCGCACGTATACGTGTACGTACACGCACACGCACACGCACGAACACACACACACACGCACGCTGATTGGTTGATTGTAAAATAACCGTACCAAAATATGCTTGAACTATCTCAAATTCATCGTATCTGATGGGGGTGAGTAGAATTGTTCAGCAGTAGACTATGCACAAGGCCATAGAATAACAGAAATTGATGAATGACATCACCATATTTTGTCCCGTGGGTTGTGAACGAGATGGTTATGGGTAATATGCTCATGGATTTCGACAGATGGCGATACCCCCTTTAGGCAAAATATAAAATATTCAAATCGGAGTGCATCTTACTGATAGCAAATCTACAAAAATAGGGCTCGTAATTGAGTACACACGCACGAAGTCAAACTGCTTTACGACATATAATTCTTCGTTTATATTATATTTTACATATTATAAGTAGGTTAAATATTGACGTGGCGGTGAAACGTTACGAGTAAACATTACAAGAAAACATGACATTTTTGAATACCGTGCCAAATTTCTCCACTACGTCGATAATATAAAAAAGTTTCAAAAAATAGATATGGGCAATAACAACTTTGAATTATTAAAAAAAAACAAACACTGTTGCCAATTTGCCTGATAAGCACGGCAGCTATGACAAATAAGGAGAGCGCTAACCAAATTTTTTGAAGAGTAATGAAATTTAATTATCGTCGGATATAGTTCAAATTCAACCGGGTGTTGCATGAGGCGACAGAAGTAAAAGAAAAAACATCTTCCTGATAAGAACTGAAAATAATAAAAACATTGCAGTTGGCAACCCACCTGCTAAGCGTGGCAACTATGGCAAATATCCCCCTATGAGGTAATCTATGGTGAAGACCTATGTTTAGCAGTGGCCTTTAATACGCTGTAACAGAACGGTAACGAACGAATGAATGAAAGCATTGCTAAATATTGTTCACAGCTAACGATGGAGGGTCGACAACGTGTGCAGCAGAACGACCTGCTGCTACATGAGGCGGTCATTAAGAATGAGCCGGCGGCCGTAAGGGAAGCGTTGCAGCGACCTACAGACGTCAACTGTAGGAATAATGTTAGTTCTGTTTTTTCTTTATTTTATGGCTTCTCTTGCAAGAATTCTACTTTTTTTATAGAATTGTAATGATTTACTTACTCACAGTCCACCTGATGGTAAGTGGCTATTGCCACCATTTATACCAGCGTAAAATAGCAGCTCAGTGCCGCTGTGTTTCGTATGGTGAGTGTAGAGAACCGGAGACTCTTAATACTGGAGACAACGCATCAAGCGTGGTAGAGCCACACTACAGCTATGTTATGGTTGTAGCATGAATGGGTCGGCTCGATTGGGGAAGGACCACGCTCTCACAGAATACCAACGTAAAATAGCAACTTAATGCCGCTGTGTTTCGGTAAGTGTAGAGAAACGGAGATCCTTTTTACTGGAAATGAGGCATTCCATCTTAGTCCTCAGGGGTAACAACGCATCTGCATTTCGATTCTTTAACGAGAATAAATGTCTATGGGCCACAGCATCCACTTACCATCAGGTTATGATAAACGGGGAATATGTACTCGTTTGTCCACCTTATTTCTATTTAAAAAAATCAGCATTTTGAATTGTAATGGAAGATAAATGTAGATATCTATAGGCCACTTTATAACATTAGGTGGACTGTGTGCTCGCTTGTCACCCTTAATGTACAAAAAAAACTCATGGACACCTGCAGCTAACTTGAAACAGAGAAGGACACAGATACGGTGTTACATCTGTAGACTTAGATGCTCACATCCTGTATTTATACCGGTTCTCTATACTATTCTGATCATAACATAGTCCAAGCTCTGCAATTTGGCGGCATTAATAGGTAAGTGTGGTAACTACCTACCCTGACGGGTTCCTACGCAAAAGAGACGTCCTACGTCCTAGAAATTTATGTATTTGTAGATACGATTTTATTTATACTGTCGGTAATTTAGATTTAAGAGAGAGTGGATTTTTTTCAACCAACGATGAAGAAGTCTGTGAATTCGACAGTAATTTTTAAATCTATGTATCTAATCTGTGAGTATATTTTATACGTGGTAGAGCCATGCTGCAGCTATAAATCTGGTATCGTTGTAGCACGAATGGTTCGGCTCGAGCGGGGAAGGACCACGCTTTTACAGAATACCAGCGTAAAATAGCAGCTCAACGATGCTGTGTTTCGTATGGTGAGTGTAGAGAACCGGAGACCCTTTTTATTGCAAAAGAGGCATTCCATCTTAGTCCTCACGGGTGAGAACGCATCTGCATTTTGATTTGTAATCGAGGATAGATGTAGATGTCTATGGGTCACAGCAACCACTTACCATCAGGTGTACTGTGTGCTTGTTTGTCACCCTTTTCCTATAAAAAATAAGAGTATATAGGTACATACAGAGGTGGATTGTAAGTTAGTTCTATAAAAAAAACCTGCCTGCCCATTCACCTGCTAAGAAGAATTGACAGTCGCAATATCCTTGCTCCGCAGCGAATCGTCTTTGATGCTGCTCCCTGTTGCTGATCTGTGTATTTTAAAGAGTTGGTTACACCGCCATCTGTCGGGAGCCACAAGATCTTTCGGACATTTCCCATAATCACTTCTCACGACGACATCGGACGAACTTATATGTTCTCTGATGGAATATAATAAAAAGTATTTATATAAAGTTTTACTTTTTAATGCAGCCACTGTTCTTCGCGTTATATCGCGGATAGTAGGACTGTATTTAATTTTAGTTTCCTTCAAGTTAATAAATATTTTATACTTTAATGTTAAATTAAAAATTAAAATTTGTATTACTGCTATTGATAACTATGCTATATATTATATTACAATGTATTTTTAATATTTTTTGAGACTTACTTTACTGTGATTTTTAGTACGGAAGAGCTCCAATTCACTGGGCAGCCAGTAGAGGAAATGTGGAAATTATAAATTTACTCATCGATGCCAAATGCGACATAGAAGCTGTAGACAAGGTAAGAGCGTAGAAGAATATTTGTTTTAAATTTATTCTGTTAAAATATAACTTCAATTCAACAGTATTTGCAAAAATGCTCATTTACGTTTTCATGAAAACGTTATTTGATATAATATTTATTTATTTATTTATTCTTTTTTGCATTCCTTAATCTAAAAGAATACAAAGGGCGGACTTGATGCCTAGAGGCATTCTCTGCCAGTCTACTCATGGAGTGGTGAAAATTTAACGTATTTGTAGCAATATTATAAAAAATAAAAAAATAAAATAGATCAACTGCCAATGGTTGTCTAAAATGTCGTCTACTGAGCCCTATGTCGTTGCCAACTGAACATCGTATACTGTTTAGCTGAATATTTGAGTTTAAAGGTTTAACTGATCTGTTCTACTGAACAGTAAAATCAATCGGTCAAAACTGAATGTTAGTTGCATGTCTTAAAGTGGAGGATTTCGTTATACCTTTATCCATCAAAATATTATGTTAATCTTACTACAACAAATGAACATAATTTAAACAATTTTAAAATCCTAAGGACCTAAGCACTATGCTCAATGACCTCAATAGTGTTTCCCAACGGATAGGTCTTAAGATGGACATGGACAAAACAAAGATCATGTTTAATGTCCATGTCACACCTATGCCGGTAGTTGTTGGGAGCACTAAGCTCGAAGTTGTTGACGAGTATGTTTACCTGTGACAAATAGTCCGACTAGGTAAGTCCAACTTCGACCGAGAGGTCAATCGACGGATTCAACTCGGTTGGGCAGCGTTCAGGAAATTACGGCACATCTTCTCGTCAGTTATACCTCAAAACTTGAAAACGAGACTGTACAACCAGTGCGTGTTGCCAGTGATGACATACGGAACTGAGACGTGGTCCTTCACTGCTGGCCGGATGAGGAAGCTCAAGGTCGCTCAGCGAGCTATGGAGAGGGCTATGCTCGGAGTTTCTCTGCGTGATAAACCCAGAAATGACGATTCCGCAGTAGAACCAGAGTGACCGACATAGCCCAACGGATTAGTAAGCTGAAGTGGCAATGGGCCGGCCATATAGCTCGAAGAACCGACAACCGATGGGGAAGAAAGGTTCTCGAGTGGCAGCCTCGCACCGGCAGGCGAAGTGTAGGGCGTCCCCCCACTAGATGGAGTGACGACCTGGTAAGATATGCAGGAAGTCGATGGATGCAGGTGGCTCAGGACCGTGCTTTGTGGCATTCTTTGGGGGAGGCCTATGTTCAGCAGTGGACTTGTGAAGGGCTGTAATGATGATGAAAATCGTCCAAATACATACCTGAATCGTGAAAATATTTAAAAAATGTAAGCGGCACTACTAAACAACACATTTGATAACAGTTCGGAATGCGGCCTCTGCTGATGGCAGCTTGGCACGGGCACCTGGATGCTGTGAAGACGCTGGTACAAGCCGGCGCTTGTCTTGCGGCTACTAATAAGGTAACCTTAGTACAAATACGTTTTAAAGTTATCTAATATACCTATAAAAATAATGTTTAATTGTTCGTATTTTATGCGCTACCATACCGTTCATCAGATTGCGCTAAAACTGTCAAGTTATTGCTTGCACTTGCATGAAGGTATAGGTATAGGTATAGTACAATTAACTTACACTAGGTGGCGCGAGTATCGTACCGGCAAATTTATTTGAAAGGTATATATCATTCAATTTCAATGAATGTATATTAATAAAATATTATATATATCATGTTTGTAAATAGCAGGTGATGTAAGAATATCCAATTCCCCATATCGTCCCGTGGGTGTCGTTACAGGCGATAGAGGGAAACAAACCAGGACATGTGCAGAAGCGTCTTCTTAATAACAACTAAAATAATACAAAACTGCTGTTGCCAAGTCAAGCAAGCGGCAACTATGCCAAGTATCCCCCTATAGGTAATCTACGTGGGAGGTCTATATCCAGAAGTGGACTATGATAAGATGAAACGGTAAAGGTATGTTTGTAAAACGAACCAGAACTATTATAATATATTATATTGTTGGATTCTGTGACGTTCCATGGTAGCAACAAGAAATCCATCACATTATATAGGAGCCGGAAGCCTCGTAAGTTTTTCAACACCAGACAGCTGGTATCTTAGACGCTCCCCTATCCTATCGTTGGTTAAAGTATTCTACAGTAATAATAATAATAATGTCCTCCAGACCAATTTCGGTCACGGCGGCCTGCCTCAACGGAGACTAGCCATCGGCGCAGGATAGGATTACAGCGCCCGAGTGTATGCGCAAGCACGGGTGCACTCTCTATTCCCTCACTCTCATAGTCCGATGGTACGGTAATCCGACACGACCGGAGAGAAATCGGACGCAGGACCGGTTTTACGTGCTTCCCGAGGCCTAGGGGTAAAACGCCACTAATGTCCTGACTCCGGGTTACCACACTGTTGTAAATAGTAATTCAGTAGTGATAGGACTCCTTTTCTGAAATCCGTCTTAGTAGAGACCCCCCCCCCCCCCCCCCACCTTGCCTATTTGCACCGTTATATACCAGAATCTAAACGAGCTGTTGTAAGTAGCTTGTGTGGTGATTCTCTTATATCACCACTCGTATACGATTCAGTAGTGATAGGACCCCTTTCCTGGTATCCGTCTAAGTAAGTAAATCCACCTTGCCTATTTGCACGGTTATATACCAGAAACCAAATGATCTATTGTAAGTTGCTTGTGGGGTGATTCTCTTATATCACCACTCGTATACGATTCAGTAGTGATAGGACCCCTTTCCTGGTATCCGTCTAAGTAAGTAAATCCACCTTGCCTATTTGCACGATTATATACCAGAAACCAAATGATCTATTGTAAGTTGCTTGTGGGGTGATTCTCTTATATCACCACTCGTATACGATTCAGTAGTGATAGGACCCCTTTCCTGGTATCCGTCTAAGTAAGTAAATCCACCTTGCCTATTTGCACGGTTATATACCAGAAACCAAATGATCTATTGTAAGTTGTTTGTGGGATGATTCTCTTATATCACCACTCGTATAAGATTCAGTAGTGATAGGACCCCTTTCCTGGTATCCGTCTAAGTAAGTAAATCCACCTTACCTATTTGCACGGTTATATACCAGAAACCAAATGATCTATTGTAAGTTGCTTGTGGGGTGATTCTCTTATATCACCACTCGTATACTATTCCGTAGTGATAGGACTCCTTTTCTGAAATCAGTGTTAGTAGTTACCCCCCCCCCCCCCCCACCTTGCCTATTTGCACGGTTATATACCAGAAATCAAATGATCTGTTGTAAGATGCTTGTGGGGTGATTCTCTTATACCACCACTCATATACTATTCCGTAGTGATAGAACTCCTTTCCTAGTATCTGGTCTAAGTAGGTACATCAACCTTGCCTATTTCACCAGCCAAGCAACAGCGTATCCACTCCTGTGTTCCGAAACTCTAAGGCATTTTATTTTAGTCCTTGGTGACGTTCGATATGTAAGCTTGTTTTTTTGCAGTTGCATGTGTTTTTTTTTATGGAAATAAAAATGAATAATTAATACACAGTCCCCCTGATTGTAAGAGGATGCTGTGGTCTAAACGTCACCTCTGAGTATTTAGATCGAAAGTAAAGTGAATCATTGGATCTTTTGACAGTTTAATTTTTAAAAAAAAACTAATTTTTTATCAATAGCTCTATAGACGTACTAACAAATCGGGATACTGAGTAGGTATGTTACCTGTAGCGTTACACATTACATTCTTCTCGTTCTAGCTCACAAAGTAATTCCTTACGCCACATTACTTTACTTTACGACATTGAGTAAAAAGCATAATGCGAATCCGGCAATATTAATAAAAAAACAGTCTGTAATTTTGCGAAATGTCGAATATTTACGCAGCGTTCTCGGGACCGCGTTGAGTTTATGTGCGACTTTATGAGTCTATGAAACGACATCAAGCAGAAAGAGGCTAAGTCAAAATAAAATCTTCAAGACAAATGTATTTGTATAATGCGGCTTTCGATTTTATTAAAATACTAGCGACCCGCCCCTGCTTGCCTGGATAGGATCTATTATCTGGCGTTTATATTTAAGATAATAAATAATCATTTATTTTACCAGTTTTTTTTTTTTCACATAATAGCTCCAAATTGTTCAGATATAATATTGTCCTAGATCACTTCTGGCATTGTTCTCTTTCTTTTCGTGAGGTTTCATTACAATCGGTTCAGTCATACGGAAGATTAGCCCGGACAAACAGATGGACAACATTTTTAAAAATGTCAAAAAATGAAATCATACAAATGGGGGTTATTTGTATGATTTTATTTTTTGACATTTTTAAACATGACATTCAAGTTAGTGTAAGACAATTATTTTGATATTAGAGAGAGACTTTATATTTTTTTTTTGTTTTTGAGATTATATATTTATTGGATATATATATATATATATATATATATATATATATATATATATATATATATATATATATATATATATATCCAATAATATATATATATATATATATATATATATATATCAGAATCTTAAAGTTTGGTACGAAGACGTTGCTTCGTACCAAATTTTAAGATTCTGAGTTCACGGGAAGTACCCTGTAGGTTTTGATTCCCTTGCGAATTTCGAAAATTTGCGGCATAAACGGCTGTATCTTTTGATTGCATTGACTTAGAAGTTTGATTTTATCCACAGCTCGAAGGGACAGTAGACTTGAGTATTTAATATGAATTTCAGCTTGATTATAGCACAGATAAAGAAAAAATTGCGAAAAGCGTAAATTTTTAGTTACATCATATAATAAAAATATTTTTAATAATTTTAAACTTATATACCTACGGATTTGCTTGGAACCCTCGGTGCGCAAGTCCGACTCGCACTTGGCCGGTTTTTTTTAAATTAAACCAAACTGAATTACTAAAAAAGGAAAACTAAGGTGAAAGATTAAGGTGTACTGAATATAATTTTGAGACCAAAATTGTTTCATTTTATAAAGGTTTAGGGGGTTGAAAACGTTATCGCCCTAAACAATATTTCAAAAAAGAAAAGTAGGCAATTGCCTCCAAGACTTGCAACTCTCTCTCAACGGAGCAACCGGTATGAAGTAGATAGCATTTTAGAAAATACGTACTCGCGCCGCTTATCGGCGCTTAACAATCCTCTTAATCGACGATAGATGTAGATGTCTATAGGCCACAGCATCCACTTACCATCGGGTGAACTGTGTCTCGTTTGTCGCCTTATTAAAACAAAAACTAGAAACTTAATTATCATATCATATCATATTCAGGTGGATAAATTCATCAGTACTGAACGCACAATTACCTATGGTACGCCTCAGGGCAGTGTACTCTCTCCAACCTTATTTCTAATATATATTAATGAAATGAGTATGCTCACTCTTCCTAAAGGGCGGATAATAAGTTATGCAGATGATACCGTCCTCCTATTTAACGCAGGTTCATGGCAAGATGTCTATACGTACGCCCAGCTGGGCTACAACACAGTCTCTAACTGGCTCCGAAGTAATGTGCTGACACTCAACATAGATAAAACATGTTATGTTGCATTTAGATTAAAAAATAACACATTAACAACATTATCACCACCATACTCTATCGTAAGTCACTCATGTTCCAACTCACTCAATAACGCGGATACCTGCATCAAACTATGTCAAGCTGAAAAAGTAAAATATCTAGGAGTAATAATTGATAGCACTCTACGTTTTCATGAACACATTAATACCCTTAATAGCAGGTTGCGTAAACTTATATATGTTTTTAAAACTCTGAGAGATGTGGCTGACGAGAAACTAAAGAAATCCGTCTACTTCGCCTTGGCCCAATCTCTGTTAACATATGGTATTACCTCCTGGGGCGGTGCTCCAAAAACTAAAATGCTTCAATTGGAGAGAACGCAGAGAGCCATCTTAAAGGTCTCTTTTTCACTGCCGTATCGCTATCCTACAGAGCTCCTATATAAAGAGTTGAAAATTTTAGCTGTGCGGCAACTGTTTATACAAAGTACCTTACTAAAACAACATGCTTTATTAAAATACAACCCCTCACTCTCCCGAGATAAAAGGCGTTTTAATCCCGTGGACCGCTATCATATAACTCTATCCACCAAATTATCTAAACGTTTCTTTTGTCACCTTGGAGGTTTCTTATACAATAAAATCAATAAAATTATCCCTATATTTAACCTTAACAAAACTATATGCAAAAAGAAAATAACTATCTGGCTCCAAGAACTAAATTATTATGACACTGAACAACTACTTACTAATTCTATCTAATTACTAATCTAATAAAAGTTAATTACTAACCCAGTCACAAACTAACAAACAAAAGCATGCACACATACACACACACACACACACACACACACACACACACACACACCCACACACAGCCACACCCACACCCACACACACACACACACACACACACACAC